AGATGACTTACAGTCCACCAGTAAGTGACTTAAGTCGGAATATTTAAGTAGGTCGTAGCTATAAAAATTCAAAAAAAACTCACTTTTTGATATGGGCACCAAGTTCCTGGTACAAAAGTGCCCAATACTTTTTAGACACGGTCATATAGTGCTTAACGCAAAAGTGTGCAAAAAATGTCTATGTTCATAATAGTGCAGCACTTTTGTGCCGCACTAGTGCCTGGCATCGTGCCTAATGTGCCTGACATGGGCATTTGCAGAACCCTAGATCTAAGGTATTAGAAACTCAAAAATCGCAAAATATACCTCAGATGGATTTCGATGTTGATTGATTATGCTTAACGTTAATAAAAAATCATCGTTATCAGAATCTGTATGAACTTTAATTGTGAGCACATCGCATCGCATAAAACTGAGGCTACATAGGGAACGAAAATAATTTCGATGTGGTTGACATCAGGAAATGGTCACTTGACCAATATTACACTTGGGTCCTCGACAACTATGATGGTACAGAAGAAATTAACGCGCGTAAAGTATCAAAAACGATTCAGAGGCCTCAAAAGAAGTTCAAAAAATAAAAAAAGAGTAAGTAATAATAAATGTGTGGTTGGGACTAGGAGATTTAATTACGTTTATCAGCAGTGTTGTCGATTGACATATTTTCAATTGAGTCCAATTGACAACACTGCTTATCAGCAACTATAGTTTTCCATACTATAGTAAGTTGTAATTCTGTAATTACGCCTCTAGTTAGGATGTGTGGATTGTATGAGCCGGAGGGTCCTATTGAACACATGCTGTACTCGTTGCAGGGAGTGTCAATGTTTGCTAGCTTATTTTGTAAAAAAGGTCTACCTATTCTGGAGGAGGAATTAGTAATGTCTTCCTTTAATGACATAACAAATGAGCCGCGGTTTAATTGTGCACCCTCCATTCCAATCTTAATTTTCACTTCAGAAAAATATTTTTCTTATATTATTTCTTTTATTTTTTGTAAAGCGTAACATCAGAGAAGCAAGCATCATATGAAATGATTTAAAAAATAAGAATTTTTTGGGTGCCTTGTAAGACAGGCGGTTTGGTCACCGGGACCAAACCGATCTTGTTTTTGATCAGCAACCTGGACGACCATATCGAAAGAGGCGGTTAGATTTGGCAGGTGGATGTTCTAAGGCTTAAGTCGCCTTTCCTACTACCTAACCCATACTCTCCTTAATTACTCTACCCTCCGATACTCTACTAAGTGGCATATATAGATGTTAGACGAAACCTAAGAGGTTTCATCATGACGAAAGGTGAAACCTAGTTTCACCTTTCGTCAAAAAAATTTTGAAATGGTGAAACAGCGAAACTGACGAAACTGACGAAACTAACAAAAGGTGACGAAATT